CATCCTTTTCCCAGGGTCTAAGTTTGTTGCCCGGGGAAAAGTTTTGGTTTGCGCAGGTGAAGCGTGCCCCTCAGCGCAGTTTGTTTCTCCGAGGCCCAGGGCAGACTTTGAAGATGCCCGAGCCCTGGGCAGTCGTGGAAAACACGTCCAGCCCTTTCAAAGCAGGAAGCACGAAGCTATTGGGTGTGCTCCAAGCAGATTCCATCGGTGGAAGTTGTTTTTTTGGATGGAACTTAGACACGTGCGGATTCGAGTAAAAAAGAAAAGCGACTCCTAAGCATCCAGGGCACACATGGCTCATTTTTGGTGTAGCGGTTGGATTCTGGGATGTAATTGGAAACTGGTGGTTTTCCCCAAACATCCAAATTGTGAGACTGGTTGCTCACGGCAAGGCCCATTGCAGGTTTTGTGTGCGCTAGGTGCTGGAGGTTTGCTCAATGAGGGTATGTCGTTCTCCCGGCTCATCTCATCAGGTTTGAGGATGTTCGTGGATTGCGAAACAAGATCAATGTACCACTTTTGAGGTTTGCTGGTACGTCCGTTACTCAGAAATTTAGAAGGTAATTTTGTGTTAAAATAGGGAGACTTGTGACCTTTACCACAGTTGGACCCCCCCCCTTCACAATGGTTCGAAGCAAGCTTTTAACATCTCTGGAAGGTTGTGATATTGGTCAAGACAGAAAAGCCTTTTGTCTCCAGGCTTGGTTCCTTGCTTGGGGATTGCGCAGTCCAATTTGTGCATTTCGTAATTTGCCGGAGTTATTTGTAGGTAGGAAGGGTAAGAGAGGTGTTTCCAGGGACCCCAGGGAGCCCGGGGCATGGCTGAGGACCGCTCAGCTGCAGTTCGAGGAACCGCTGCTCTGGCTTGGGGCGCCCAGAGTTTCGCCTTGGGGATCTTTGTGGCAGCGTTTCTGAGGGTTACTAGGTCCCCCAGTAGTGCCCTTTCTTACCCCTTTTTTGGGGGAGGGTTCCCCTACTACTAGTAGAATAGACTACAGAAAAAAAGGGGTACCCGCATTCTAACCTCTCAAATCTGGAGGACCTAGGTGAAAGTCAGAAAATGGAGTTTGTGCTTTCACCCCACGGACTTGGATCACGGTTAAAAAAAGAAGAGAAGGTTTCTTTTTTCAGTTGGGAGCATTCACTTGGCCCTGAAAGCAAGAAGCAGTGCATAGAGATCAAGTTGACCGTCCTGAGTCTAGTCACTGCCTCTGTGGACTTGGGCCATTTTGGGTGGGAAGATTCTCCCACCAGCTAACATGGAAGTGCGGAAGAGCACAGAACCCTGTAGAAAGACTACTTTGCTCTTGGAAAGGGCCTTGTTGCACTTCCATGTTAGTTGGTGGGAGGGTATTCTGGTTGACAATGGTGTCTGTTTTTGGCGATCCACACGGGAAGCGAGCGCTTTTTCTTTGGCTTACAGTAAGACTTTTGCCTGGCATGCCTCCTCGGGAAGGGTTGTGCGAATACGATTACCCTTTTGCAACTATCATGGAAGTGGACACGGGGCGTTTTCAAGAGTACAGTAGTCGTCCAAACGCCTCCTGTCCACTTCCATTGTTGGAAGTACACCTTGGGAAAATGACGCATGGTCCACAGCACCGACAGCAATCCTTGATTTCTGAGTGGGTGCTTTTCCAGAGGGCGTACTAACAAACCAAGCCTGGACCAAGCAATTCCCCCGGCCATCCTACATGTGTGTGTGTGTGCGTGGAATCGCCAAGGGGATCTGAGAAACGGAAAATCTGTCTGTTGGTTCCTAACTTTGAATAGCTTTCCAGGTAGAAAACAGGGCTGCTCACCCATGACATAAGTAGAAGAACCTGAGGATTTCAACAATGGGCGCACAGTGCGCCTCTCGGTGTGTTCCACCCCCTTTTCCTCCACCTGGTCCCATTGCGTTGTTTCCTGAATCGGATAGTATGAGGTTCGGTCGACATGTGCAACGGTCTATGGTACATTTGGGACTTCCTAATTTGTGCTTGTCCATGGGTATAGCTTTGTCACTGGAGAGTCCCTTCCACCAGTGGATGCCCACGACTTTTCACCAGCTCACTTGCCCAAAGCCGACCTTTTGACCTTTTGGTGTCCCATGTTTGGTCCATGTTTAGTAAAGGTCCCAAAAGGTTAACCTTTTGTTTCTGGGTCCTTTGGGCAACTGAGCCAGTTGCCAACTGGTTGATCGTGACTTCAAGGCGCTGACTGAGTGTCGGCTGAACAGAGGAACCTGTCTTCGTCTCCAGGAGCCCGGCAAACCAATTCCCTAAAAAACAAGCATATCTGACGGTCAACGTTTGGAAACATCTTGCCTCTTTTGTGATTGTCAAATTCTCGTGACAAATAGGAACCATACTTGTTTAGTTCCTCAAAAGGAAACCAAAAGGGATGGAGAGTTGCTATGTTTTCACTTTTTTTCTCCCGTCCTGGTGAGTTCACGATTTCCCGTGCATCAACACTGCATCCTAGTTTAACACCCCGTAGGTCCAACTTTAGCATCTGGATGGTCCCCTTCTATTAGACCCCCTGCATCAACCCATGTCCCTCATGTTCCTTCTATGTAACGCCCCAATTTCATACATTCCCAACACCTTTGCCCTCCCTCAACACCCCAACTTCAGCCCCCAAAAATAGATTTGAATCCATGGTCAAATTGTGCTATGAATGTGAACAAAAGGGAGACATGAATCCCCTCCAAATGTCCACCAAATGGGAGACCATTCAAAGCTCTCGCTCAAATTCTGCTTCCAACAGTCATTCAAAAGTCCCACTAAACCCTGGCGGTAAGGTGAATTACTTCTCCAAATGGGTGTGGCTCAAAGTGTTTTTTTGTCCATGTGCCCATAGGGCAACCCATTTTGGGGTGACCATACCCTTCTGACTTCCACAGAATGGAAAGTGAAGATCCAGTGGGGTTCATTCATCCGGAGGCAGATCTCCGCCGAAACCCGCCGTGCGCGCCGTTCGCGGCGTTCGCGCCCCCCAGCCGAGGACGGGCTCGGAAGAGGCGATCCGCCCTCCTCCGGGCTTGGCCCGGGCCCCGGGGCCCTTTTTTTTTCTGGGCGAAGGGATTGGCCATGGTGGTGGTTGGGAAACATGCTTCTTCTTTTTTTGCTTTTAGATTTGTTTGCTGATTTTGGTTTAAAAAGGTTGAAATCCAACCACTGGAAAAAGCTGAAATTGAGAAATTGTTGCTCCCCAAACCCAACGTCAACCAAGTTGGTAGGCAAAAACCGGGGTGACACTTCCTTTCGACTCCCGCTGGCAGGGGTTCTAATGTTTCCAGTGCGGTTCACAGACCAGCTGTGCTTGCAAAATTTCAATCGGGGTATCTCACTGGGGTTATGTTTAAAGGGGAAATATATTCGGATCATCTTTAAAGGGGAAATATATTCGGATCATCAGCCCACTTAGAAAGTTAGTCACATACTTCTAAGTCAACCACTTTCTCAGAACCACGCCCATATCAAATGAGTGTCCTCTCGGACAAATCGGCAAGGAAGACTTGGGGAACACATGGGTATGCGTCAAAATGGGGGATACCCTTTTTTCGCGGGTTTCATTGCCTTACCCAAGCACCCAACCCCCGACACGGGTACCTGTCACCCCGAAAAAGTCGCAGCCATCGGGCCATCGATCCGAGGAGCCCACCGGTGCGAAGGACGGGGCACTGGGTTGCTGAACTGGGTGTGGGTCAAAATTAAACCACCAGGATATGGACCGCAGATGCTGGTCCATGTTTCCACAGGGCAACCCATTTTGGGGTTACTCTATTTTTGACCCACAGCCAAATGGTTTTTCCCACTGAGTTGCCCAAAGCGAATCGACCTTTTGACCTTCTGATTCTCCCTCCCAGGTCCCTAAGAGGCAGGTACCTGGAGTCATGACCCTAAAAAATGGGGTGATTATCCAAAATCATGGGGTCATTAACTCATTTTTAAAGGGTCATGGAGACTCCAAGTAAGTCCGTCACTGAACTTTCTTTGGTCTCCAAGCCCTGAGAGGAGCACGAGGACGGGCGCTCAGAGGCGGAGCAGCACAGCAGCGCCGCCTCCACCGCAGACACCGAGGTCCCAGGCGAGAAGCGAAAATATTTTGGTCCCTACTGTGGCTAGGTCCAGCAATTGGTGCCCGACCTCTCACCCGTTTCTTTGTTGGTGAGGGAAACCCCCTAAAATAGACTACAGCAAAAAGTTGGTACCCTTAACCATCCTCTCTGCAGGACCTGTGGATCAACTCAACCTGAGGAGAGACTGTGAACTGACTGACAGTGTGTGTGGACCAAGTCTGTTTCGCTGAGAAACCCGAGGGCTTCCGATTCGATGGTTTCAAAGTGGTGCGAGCGGATTTCGTCCGTCCACAGTATGACTGTGTGTGTGTGTGTCTTAAAATCGCGGGATCCCGAAAATGGTTGGTCATTCAGAGAAATGGATCAATGACTTGCGGCTGTGGTCGTAAACCCTTTTGCAGGGACAGGGATCGGTGCAAGCAGTTCAACGTTCAACTCATGACTCCTCTTTTGTCTTGTTCGATCAACGCCGGTTATGCTATGTGCAGTGTTGCGCTGAGCAACTTGGCATGAGTTCCATTTTTTCAGCGAGGCTTCATCAGGATGTTTCAGAGTTCACAGCGACGCGCCTTTCTCATAGCCGTTTGGCCAAGGTGCAGAGATATCCAAAACTTATGTTCCTTTTGCCTTTCAGCGGGAATGCCGCTGCCGCTTTCACAGTGTGTGCTGGCAGGGGTGTCATCTATGGCAACCAATGAGAATGGGGCACTATCCTTCGTGCAGATGCAGTCAGGGATTGCCATGTCACCCTGGAACAGGTCCCAGGTCTATTGGGTTGGCGCATATCACAAGTCACTCAGTTGTTCAGTGGCACCGATTAGTTTCCCCCTTTGCTTGGGTGGCTGCCAAAAACTAAAATGGTCTTCCCCAAAAAGGGTTCCCTTTTTTTTCCAGGGTCACTGAACAACTGAGGTCAGGATCGGATCTGTTGCAGAACATCATGCGCCGTGCATTTGACAAACTGGGTGCAAACTACAGCTGTCGCATGGCCTGGTGGATGAGTGACGCAGACGCCATTACCTCGGCGGGAGGCGAGCACTACTGCGGGGATGTCCCTGACTGCCACATCATGTATGACAAAGATCCAACAGAGGAGAGCGTGGAGATGGCAATGGCAAGGGGCAATGGCGTACGTGGTGTGCACATCGTGCGTAACCCTTCGGACATGCTTGCCTCTGCATACTGCTATCATCATCAAGGACAGAAGCCCTCGCATCGTATCAGCTACAACCCGCAAATCTTGCCTAGGGGCGTGGGGCCCCTTGAGGGCATGATGCTACTCTGGCCAATGATGTCCGACGTCATGGGCAACATGGCCAAGAACTTCGCGAACAAGGGCTTGTACCATATCCGGTTCGAAAAGCTCACAGAGTCCTCGGCGAGTTTTGACCAGCAGGTCAACCGCATGTTCGAGAACCTCTTTGGAGGCCTCATCTCGCGTAAAGAGCACGAGAAGATTGCGGAGGCTGCCAAGGCCGAAGATCTCAACAGACAGGTCAGCGCAGCAGCAGCAGACCACACCAGCTCTGATGAGTGCATGGCAGCAGCTCTGCAAGCACAGCCGTCCTTTGATGCGAGTGTGAAGGCCCACTTGGGCGGCCTCCAGGTCAAGCTGGGCTACTGAATGCAGCGGCTCAAAATGTGGCATTTTCCGGTCCGCAGGCTGCCCTCCTCCGTTGTTCTACATTGTGGTTGGCTCCGGCTCCGGTGTGTTTTGTTTAGGAGGAACTGCAAATCCTTGCATCCAATGCTTCGTGTCATATGGCTTGAACCTCATTGACTCGTTCCTTGGGCTGCCTTGTTGCTTTTGGGCGGGTGGGGCAGGTTCCCAGAGGCTTGGGGTCAAAGGGGCGGTGTCCTGAACGGATGAATCGCCTGGTTGACTTTTTACTTAGGGGTCGTGCTCGTGGGGATTCAGACTTTTGGAGAAAGTGTCACCTCTGGCTCAACCAGGGGTAGCTTCGCCTCAGGCGTGCTCGCAGCAGGACCACTACCGAGTGCAGGGACCTTGAGCGGATGTGATGTTCTTTCGTTGGTTTGGCGGTTTGGAGGCGTGGGTTTTCTTTCCCATGTCGGTTTCAAGAAGGAACTGGAGTTCAAATCCCCAAACCACCAATCCGAACTATGAATTTGCGACTGCCTAGGGGAGACCCCCATCTAGTGTTTGCAGGGAACATACGCTCGCTCGCTGAGTTTCACTTCGAACTTAGGAAAACCATTCCAATAAACAACAAAGGAGCTTTGTGGGTCCCCCCCACTGGGAAAAGTCTCACTTCAGCAGTTCATGTTTCATGATGTTTAAACTTTTTGGGAAGACCATTGCAGTGGTAAATCTAAAGTTTGGACGTTTTTTGGGCCATCCACTCAGCAAGTGAGAACTTGTCCCATGAGCACAAAGAACTTTACGAGCCAATCCACACAACATGGTTGTCGTTGGGACACATTTTACATTTTTGCTTATTGTGGTTTAGTGGTTGAAATCCCCACTTAACTGCTGAGATTGAGAAATTGTTGCTCCCCTTCCAACGTCAACCAAGACAAGGAACCTCCGGCCAATCGCCTCATCCGAGGCTGAGGCGCCAACGCGTGGCTCAGCATCCCACGGCCTGGGAGTCTGCAAGCCATGCGCCTTTGTGTACAAGGACGTGGCAAGTCTCCCGGTGCGATCATTTACATGCTCCCCTACCAAAAGTCTCATTTTTTTTGGAAGCCACCGTGCTTTTGTTTGCAAGCTACACGGGGAAATCCAGAGGTATCTGAAAGGAGAGTTCAAACATGCGGGTTGGCCATGGTTGGCCCAAGACGGTTTCCAGTTGAATGGGAAGCAGGTTTGCTTGGTACCAGGGCACTGATACCCCCATCCGTTCATTGCACCACGGGGGCGTCCGTGGCGCATGCTTCACCGTCTCGGGGTGTTTTCAAAGTAGGCCCCCTTTTGGCTTTTGGGGGAGTTTGAAGGGAAGCCAAGTGGACCCTTGTGTGCCCCTCTTAGAGGAAAACATGGGATGTACGACTGATCTGCTAGAGCTAGACAGGTGGATTGATCGGTAAAGTGCCCAATTCCGTCGAATCGGCGTTTTGCTCTCCCTCGATTGCGTTTAAAGGGAAATCGCAAGTATGTGCCACTAGCTGGATATTTTCTTGTTGCATTGAAGGATTGTGTTTGAATATCTTTTCCAGGCCCTGCCGTCTTGTGATTGCACGAGGAAATCGGGGCCCAGCAGGTTGCAACGCAGAAGTCTTCACGTGCAGGGCGAACAGGAGGCTGCCCACATGAACTTCGGATGAATTTGCTTGGGGTTCCCAGCCATCCCCTTAGCTGTTTAGTTTTTTGGGGTTTAGTGGTAGTTTCCATTTAACCCCCCGAAAAGTTAAACTTTTAGCAAGGGATCTGAGGACAGCCCAGTAACATAGATCATGTCCTTACTAAAGGAACCTCTTCGTACCTCCAGGCCCTTCACTTGAGACGAGAGGGCTTGATTCCAGGCATTTGGTGTTGGTTGCGTGTCTTAATGTTGCTGTTTAGTGTTCTCCCATAACAACAAAGCACCTCCAAACAAAATTCAACAACTAAATGATGTGTTCTCCCATGGCCACTTGCTTTCAGGTGTCTTTTGGATTGCTGATTGGTCTCTCTTTTTTGTTCTTCGAAAACCTCCACACATGGCCAAGGATCCCCGGAGATGAATTCATCCCTATCACTGCGCCGGGGTTCTTTGCTTTGCTGCCTATTTTGGCGCAGGATGGATGCGCCAGCGGCTTCGAGTGCCAGTTCTGCCACATCTGCCCGCCAGGCGTGGAAAAAAATCAATTTGCCGTCCGGGCGGCCCCACAATTCGAAAGCTTGATCCCAGGGAAAACAACCTCAGGGTTGTTTCCTTGTCCACTCTTTTCACCCATGTCTGTTCGAAATCCGTGCAACAGATTGTCAACAGCCCATGTGGTTCTGTCCTCAAAGGACGAAATCTCCTTTGGTTTGTGTTCAAGGGATGTCAGGACAAAGTCGATGTAAGAAGTTCTTCTCAGGGAACCCCTGACCATGAAACGAGGAGTTTGAATGGCACAGGTGTCTGCGCAGTTAGTTAGATCAAAACCTCACAAAAAAGCCTGCGGCCCATGATTCAGGTTCCTTGCATGGGGAAGCCTGATTCGGGTTTGGCAAAACACAATTGCTTCAGGTGTTTCCCCTTCTGGATAGTTTCAAACAAATGGATTCATTGTCAATTCCAATTTGTCTCCTGTTACGATGCTTCAGGGACAAAGTCGTCTGCAAAAAGAAGTTGCGCATCCCCTCGGGCTGGGGACTTGACAAAGTCGTCTTCACCGGAAATCAGTCTGATAGTTTCCACTGCCCTGACCAAACCCGGGAAGATGAGATTTTTCCGGCGCTGCATGGCGGCGGCATCCCGGTAAAATCTTGGCGGTAGTGGATCGTCCCAAGCTTTTGCATGGGCATCGAGCGTTGTGTGTGGCGAACAGAGGGAGTGGAAGAGATTTGTTCCGGTGTTCTTCAGAGACCCATAGACAAGACGGCGCTTGAATGTCAGTGTATTGGTTTGGGAGTTGATACTTTGTTTCGGGAATCCAAGGGGAACCCACCTTTGTGGGCAGGTGGGTGTGGTTGCTTTTGTTTGAGGCTTGGTACCCTTGTTTTTTTGCATCATACTTGGCGGTTTGGATTCGACATCTGTTCTATTTCAGTTCGGGCCTCTGTGACCATGTCAACGCTGCGCGGCAGGTTGACGGTAGCTGCCCTCTTCCAAGTTTCAGATTTCCCATTTACACGAGATTTCGTTTGCTTGACTCGTGCGGCTTCGCCATGGTCCCAATTCCCATTGGTCCCCAGAGTTCTCACGAGCTCCTGGAGCACTGTCCCTTTGCCTTCAAGTGTCGCTGAGGCATGATGCTGGATTGGATTCGAGGGGTTGAAGGGAAACCAAGCCACCAGACCAAACCAATTAGAGGGAAGCTGACTTTATGGGTGGACCCCCGTTTGATTGGTATGTAAAGCTAAGCCCGAGTTTTTGGGAAACTGACATATAAAAATATATATACATATATATGGTACAGCGTTGCCAGCCCCCCCCTCCAATGGTAGGCCCCTCGTCTGTACCCGCGTTTTGCGACTCGTCTGTATTCGCTGGAATCCACTCGTTTCTACCCGCGCGGTGGGCGCAGATGAGTCAGATTGATGGCAGTCCCCTATGCTCTAAACTTCACAAACGCAGTACTCACAAGTATTGTGTGGGCGTAGATGATCTTAGGTGTTTTGGGGCTTTACAGCTCTTAGAGAATATCTTAGGTGTCTACTATGGGTCACGTGCGGTACGGTGAAGATCCTAAACCCAAAAAACCCTAAACCCTAAAAACCCTAAACCCTAAAACCCTAAACACTAAAGATCCTAAACCCTGAAACCCCTAAACCCTAAAAACCCTAAACCCTAAAAACCCTAAACCCTAAAAACCCTTAACCCTAAAAACCCAAAACACTGAAGATCCTAAACCCTGAAGACCCTAAACCCTAAAATCCCTAAACCCTAAAAACCCTTAACCCTAAAAACCCTTAACCCTAAAAACCCTAAACACTGAAGATCCTAAACCCTGAAGACCCTAAACCCTAAAATCCCTAAACCCTGAAACCCCTAAACCCTAAAATCCCTAAACCCTAAAAACCCTAAACCCTAAAAACCCTTAACCCTAAAAACCCTAAACACTGAAGATCCTAAACCCTGAAGACCCTAAACCCTAAAATCCCTAAACCCTAAAAACCCTAAACCCTGAAAACCCTTAACCCTAAAATCCCTAAACACTGAAGATCCTAAACCCTGAAGACCCTAAACCCTAAAATCCCTAAACCCTAAAAACCCTAAACCCTGAAAACCCTTAACCCTGAAAACCCTAAACACTGAAGATCCTAAACTCTAAAGACCCTAAACCCTAAAATCCCTAAACCTTAAAAACCCTAAACCCTAAAAACCCTTAACCCTAAAAACCCTAAACACTGAAGACCCTAAACCCTGAAGAACGTAAACCCTAAAATCCCTAAACCCTGAAACCCTAAAAACTTTAAACCCTAAAAACCCTAAACCCTAAAAACCCTTAACCCTAAAAACCCTAAACACTGAAGATCCTAAACCCTGAAGACCCTAAACCCTAAAATCCCTATACCCTAAAAACCCTTAATTCTAAAAACCCTTAACCCTAAAAACCCTAAACACTGAAGATCCTAAACCCTGAAGACCCTAAACCCTAAAATCCCTAAACCCTGAAACCCCTAAACCCTAAAAACCCTAAACCCTAAAAACCCTAAACCCTAAAAACCCTAAACACTGAAGATCATAAGCACTGAAGATCCTAAACCCTGAAGACCCTAAACCCTAAAATCCCTAAACCCTAAAAACCCTTAACCCTAAAAACCATTAACCCTAAAACCCCTAAACCCTGAAACCCCTAAGCCCTAAAAACCCCAAACCCTAAAAACCCTGAACCCTAAAAAACCTAAACCCTAAAATCCTTAAACACTGAAGATCCTAAGCCCTAAAAGCCCTAAACCCTAAAACCCCTAAACCTTAAACACCCTAATCACTAAAGATCCTAAACCCTGAAAATCCAAAACCCTAAACCCTAAACCCTAAAAACCCTAAACCCAAAAAAAAACTGAACCCTTAAGAAACCTAAACCCTAAAAACCTTAAACACTGAAGACCCTAAACCCTAAAATCCTAAACCCTAAAAACCCTTAACCCTAAAAACCCTAAACACTAAAGATCCTAAACCCTGAAACCCCTAAACCCTGAAGACCCTAAACCCTAAAACCCCCAAACCCTAAAAACCCTAAACCCTAAAAACCGTTAACCCTAAAAACCCTAAACACTGAAGATCCTAAACCCAAAAAACCCTGAACCCTAAAAAACCTAAACCCTAAAACCCTTAAACACTGAAGATCCTAAGCCCTAAAATCCCTAAACCCTAAAAACCCTAAACCTTAAACACCCTAATCAAGAAAGATCCTAAACCCTGAAAACCCTAAACCCTAAAAACCCTTAGCCCTAAAACCCTAAACCCTAAAAACCTAAACCCTAATGACCCTACGCCCAAAAAGCCCTAAAACTCTCTGTGGGCAGGGATGAGCCCAAAGTGTGGGCGCAGATGATGAAAGAATCTGTGGGCGCACATGAGTCAGAAAATGTGGGCGCAGATGAGTCACTTCTGTGCGGGCGGAGATGAGCCGAAAATGTGGGCACAGATGAGCCCCCTTCCCCTCCAATGGTCATGGGTCAGACAAGTACCCCCCGCCCCCTGTGGTTGTGGTCCTGTGGTTGGGTTGTGGTGGTTTAGGGTTGGTTTAGAATTGGGTATATTTAGGGTGTATTTAGGGTTAGTTTAGGGTTGATTTAGGGTTGGCTTATGTTGATTTAGGGTTGGTTTAGGGTTGGTTTAGGTTTAGAGATGTACGGTTTAGGGTTTGATTTAGGGTGTATTTAGGGTTGGTTTAGGGTTAGTTTAGGGTTGGTTTAGGGTTGGTTTAGGTTTAGGGTATGTTTAGGGATTGGTTTAGGGTGTATTTGGGGGTTAGTTTAGGGTTGGATTATGTTGATTTAGGGTTGGTTTAGGTTTAGGTTTAGAGGTCTAGGGTTTAGGGTTTGGTTTAGGGTATATTTAGGGTTGGTTTAGGGTTAAACTAGGGTTGGTTTATGGTTGGTTGCGGGTTGGCTTATCCTGGGGTGGGGGTGCCGGGGTGTCGGGGTGAGAGTTCAGGATATCGGGGTGGGGGTGGGACCGTAGGTGCCAGGATCCGGGGGCTCGGGGTCTCGGGCCGGGGCGGGGGGGGTGGGGGACCCATACCATATAGAGGGGGGGGGGGTAGCAACGGGACCACATATACATATATATATATATATATATATTTCACGGATTCCAGGCAGATGCTGGCGGTGTCCGTGCCAGGTGAGAAGATCCGTCGCAAGAAGGAGCTGAAGCAGCGAAGGAAGCAAAACAAGAAGCAGTAGGCCGGAGCTGTGATAAGTTCATGGATGGCCCTATCACAACTGTGTTGCCAGCGACACCACAGCCTGGCCAAGAGAAAAGGCGACTCTCGCCTACAAAACAAAACTTGTTGAGCTGGTGTTTTCCTTCTTTGCAACTTGTCGTTGGGGAGGGTTTGAACATCAGCCAACCACAAGCGCAAGTCCTACAGAAAACGCATGGAAGGTTTGGAGCGAAATGGGAGTTGCCAAGTTGGAAATATGGTGAAGCGACTGTTCTCCCACTCGTGAACCTACATCTTGACAAGCTTCTCTCCCGAAGGCAGAACCCTGATCTTTTGGCTAGGTCAAGAGGTTCCTGTAGTGAGTGGCAAGTTGGGAACTCAGGCTGGGCCTTTGCCCCCTCAAACGTGTTCAACTTGCCTTTGGAGGGAGCCAAGGAGCCAGTTGTGCCACTGGCAGGTAAGCACGCGCGTCCTACGGAGCTCCAAGTTCGCTTCTTTTCATGGGCATGTTCAGTTGGGTTGGGTTGGGTTGAGTTGAGTTGAGTTGGTAAAGTTTGGTTGGGTTTGGTTGGGTTTGGTTGGGTTGGGTTGGGTTGGGTTCTGTCTGTCTGTCTGTCTGTCTGTCTGTCTGTCTGTCCTGTCTGTCTGACTCTCTGTCTGTCTGTCTGTCCTGTCTGTCTGTCTGTCTGTCTGTCTGTCTGTCTGCCTGCCTGCCTGCCTGCCTGCCTGTCTGTCTGTCTGTCTGTCTGTCTGTCTGTATGTGTGTATGTGCGTGTGTCTGTGTCTGTGTCTGTGTCTGTGTCTGTCTGTGTCTGTGTCTGTGTGTGCGTGTGTCTGTGTCTGTGTCTGTGTCTGTGCCTGTGTCTGTGCCTGTGTCTGTGTCTGTGTCTGTGTCTGTGTCTGTGTCTGTGTCTGTGTCTGTGTGGGTGGGTGGGTGCGTGGGTGCGTGGGTGCTTGGGTGCGTGGGTGCGTGGGTGCGTGGGTACGTGGGGTGTTGCGGTCAGCGCTGCACGCAGAGAATCGCTCGGAGAACTTGCTCATAGAAACTTGTCCCGAGCTTGCGCAGCACACTTGTGCGTAGCGCTTGCGCGCTGCAACTTGCACAGAGCAATGTTTTGATGCACTTGCGCAGGGGGCATCAAGGAGGCCGCCGTCACTCAGCTTCTTCAGGCAAGACCTTCCTTGCGGCCGTGGAGAGGCCGCGACTACGCCCTGTGGGCACTGAAGATATTGGAGAGAGCCCGCGGCGATGTTCTGGCTCACAGTCACACAAATTAGACGCGTGATGTTTTCTACTCGCAGTCACGCGCGCTGACGAGCTCTCGCACACCGGCTGCTGACGTGGTCTGCGCGGAGCCGCCCGACGAGCTATAAAAATCTGCAGCTGCCACTTGCCCATGAAATGGAAGCAGGCACACGTGCATGAAACCAACACTCACTTTCCAGTATGCTTTCGGGCCACCCGTGGTTCTAGTTCTTTGGGAGCGGGAGGCAGTCGAAAAGGGACTCCCCTTGAAAGCAACGGTTGAAACAGACAAGTCCTTAGTTCGCCGCTGGTGGCTGACAGGAACATGTGTGCGCAAAAGCGTCAAATCGAAGTTTGTTTGTCTGTTGGTGCGCACCTCTGTCTTGTTCTCGTTACCAACAGCAGGATGCGCCAAATCAAAGTTGCTTGGCTGCGCAGAGCTGCCTTGGCTTTCTTTGCTGCATTCGCAGTAAAGACAAGTGAAAAAATGGTTTCAACCGCATCCCCAAAAACGGGTAACCTCCAAAGACACCCACAATAACCTTCAGGCAGAGGAGCCTGTTGAAGCTGACGGGCAGCTTGGACAGTCGGGGCCCAAGCTTTCTTGGCTTCCCTGGAGGCAAAACGAGCTGGGAGTGACGGCGTTTGAAAACCCCTCAGAAAATGCGGAATTTGAAGATTGGTGGCTTGGAGATTGGGGCCGGGCTTGTTTCCACCTTCCAAAGAGAGATGGTACACAGCAGCAACATCCCGAGCATCACCAGCAAGGCCACTTGTTAGCGAGCCTCGCGGCCCCTGAAAAAGTACGCCTCAAGAATTCCTAGATACAAGCAAGTTTCGATCCAAAAAATCGTCCACCCTGGCAAAGCAGCTCAAGAGGAGCAAGAACCGGTGGGAAAGGTCTCGCGTGTGACCTCTGCGCATTGCGGCGCGCTAGAAAAACCAATGCCCTCACCAATACCATTTTGGGTCCCGCCGCGCAAACATGTTCAACCTGCCCAACTTCATTTTGTTGTCCGAGCGATTTTTTTTTAAGGGGGGGGGGGGGGTGGGGGGGAACGGTTGTCTTAAGAAGCTAACCGAATTGCACCTGTGGGGCCTCCTTTCCCTGACGAGATATATCTGGTGGTTTTCCGCTTGTTTTCCTTGAAGTGCGGTCGTGAAGCGAAGAAGCAGTTGACCTCAGATCGCTTTGCACATCGGATCGCCGAAGAGGGGACCAACTTAGTCAGTGGTTTGGGGATGAAACCTCAGTTGTTCAGCGGCACCCTTTTCCATTTTTTGGTGGCTGCCCCACTAAAAATGGTCTTCCCCAAAAAGGGTTCCCTTTTTTGCAGGGTCACTGAACAACTGATAAACCCGTTTACGATATTAGCCGTGAATCGAGTGGTGTGTGCCATATGGCGGCACGAGGGTCCAAAGGAGGGCCTTGGTAGACTCTCCTCTCAGGTGCCTTCTCAGCCGACTGCTGTGGTGAGGGGTTGGAGCCAAAATCTTCTTTCATTTTCGCGTTTCATGAGAAAATCTGGGTCGCATGCGGTTCACTTCCGGTTGCAATGCCCGAGTGCGGCTCCGGCAATGATTGTTTTCAATGACATCATGTAGGCGTCCAGTATCAAATGCGTCCTGGCTTGGGGACGCACTGTTGCCTGACCGCTGCTCAGCATGATTTTCTTGTGGCGCGTCTCTGGAAGCGTTGGTTGCGCACACACAAAGACTCCACAGATGTGTGCCGGCCAACAAATTTTAATCCGTGCACTTAGACACGGACAGGCGGCCAGGTCCATCATCGCCCAGTTGGTGCGCTTGCATTCGAAGGATTTGCAAGGGACCTGGCCAGAAGTGCAAGTTGCTCGGAAAGGAGAATTCGTGATGCAAAGTGTTCAGCTTGTATACCGGAAGATCTCCTTTCGTACTATTTTGCTCCCCCCGAACCATTGCACGAACGTTGAAGAGCGGTTTGGGCAGGGGCAAAATGCGGCCCATGGCTGATATGCGTTGCTGGCCGCAGGATCCCCCAAAGTCAAACCGGCTCTACTTTTGACCCCCGTAGGTGTGCCTCTCGCCAGGTTGGAGATCAGTTTTTCTCGCCAGCTCTTCCGAAGTTGTCGAGCTATCTGCACCGGTCTGTTGAACGGCACGAGTTTCTCTGTGACGCGAAGCAAAGCCAAGCGACTTGAGCCGTTCGCTCTGGGGGTTTCAAAGGGATCCGCCAGAGACAGACTGCGGTTTTAAAAGGGCGAGGGCGCACAGTACCTATCCCCTGGCGAAGCACATGTTTTGGGAGCCGGAGGACATTGCGGCTCAGAAATTTGAGTTCAAAAAAGGTTCATTTGCATGCAGCGGTTGTTCCGCGTGTTCCCCCAATCCTGGGCCAAACATCCTCCAGTTGCAGCCCACCTTGATTCGCTCGATTTGCTTACTCCTCTTTGTTCTGCCAGAGTGCATAGTCGTCGCAGAAGCTTGCCCCTAAAGCGGGGTTCGCTCAGCAGCGGGATGTTTCTTGTTCCGCTGCATGCTCTTGACAGACCTTGATCTTCCATTGGCGGGAGTCGGGCGTGCCCCTACCCGAATCCTGGGGGCCACTTAGGGGAGTTGGGGCAACAATCGAACACCTTTCTGGGGTGGAGTCCCCAATTTTGGAAAACACCCTTTTCCCAGTTGTTCAGTGGCACCCGGTTTTGGCATTTGGTTTGACGGCTTCGGAAAGATATGGTCAACCTCGAAAGGGGATCCTGGAGTTGGACAGGCTGCGCCATTCGCAAAAAACAACGTGAAAGCGAGTTGATCGGGTCTAGGAGAACCCTGCGCCATCCTTTCGTTTTTTTTCAAGGCTGGAGAACGCCGTGCTTACGGTGGTTACCCTTTTCCGGGCAAAGGGAAGTTTGGGAAGCAAAGTGAAACTTGCCTTTTCCGTCCTTGTTTTGTCCTTCATCCTTGAACCTCCGCATGAGTCCTAGCATTTGTTTTTTTGCAGACCTTGGGTCGATGCCTTGGAGGGTCGATGCCTTGGCTTGCGCTGATTCACGCTTATTGCTGCACCATGTCTTTCTAGCCACTTTGCAACAGGGCGTCTACCACTGCATAGTGTGCTGGGTCAGTGCATTGAGAAGTTGATGCGAGTGCATGCGGGTGTGTTTTTGCGGGTATCCTTTCGCCTGTTTTCACACACACACACACACACCTGTGTTTGAATTTCACGTTCATTTCAATCATCGGTCCTAGCAGCGTGCCATTTAATGGCATGCTCTGGGACCGGTTCTGCGACGACCGGATGCATCACTGGGAAGGTGTTGGCAGAAATTGATTGGCATCACCGCAAGGCGGCCAAAGACGCGTGCGAGGAGCAAGGCAACAGCAAAACACCTTTTGCTTGTGAGTCGGAGCGATGTGTGTTTTTTGCGGCGGGGGTGGTTGGAAGGCCGAAGGATGAATAGACGCCTGGTTGAGGGCCTGCAACTCGCTGAGGCAATCCTTCACTTTTGGGGGGGAACACCCGCACAGTTGTTGTTCGATAATCTGGTGGGTGAACATTGAAATTTAGGAATCAGGCTTGAGGTTGTATTGCTAAGCAGTGGGTTTGGGTGACAGCTCAATTCGTCAATTGGTGCCATGTGTGCCATGGTCAATTTGGCATCAACCCCCAGGATAAGCCTAGGACAAGCCAAGGGGCCTTGAGGGGTCAACAATAGGTGATCCCCCACCTACCCACAGCCTGGCCCCAACGCTAAACCAAGGAGTCTCATTGTCGCCATCTACGATAGAAGATGGAGAGAAGCAACTCTCCTGTTGGCAATGAGGGATACATGCTCCAAAGTCCAACAAGAAACCCAATCTGGTTTGCCCTTTGATATTTGGCCCTTTGGTCTTTGGAGCATGGAAGTTCCCCCATTTTCCTGGAAAGCCGGATGAATAAGCCCCTGGTCGATTGATATGGGGGTCCCCTTTTAGTGGGGTTCGGACCACGTGAGGGGAAATACCCTAAGGTTTCTGCTTCGGGGTGAGCATGTTTCCACGTTTCAAAGCCTTGGCTTCCAGGTTTCACACACGATGTCCAGGGAAACATGTGAGAAGCCCTGTTGCTAAAGTGAGCCACAATCAAAACCCGGGTAGATGAAGGTTCGCAAGGGGCAGTCCCAGCCGGAAATAGTTGTGGCCGCCTTTCAAATTCTTTACATGGCTCTGGAATCAACAAGGTGATTGTGACTCAAGTGGTTTCCAACGGCAGAGCATGGGGCGTTGATGGCGTGCATTTGAGTGCGTGTTTGGGCGTTTGCATCAGCTCAAGGCTGGAAAGCGCGGCAGATATGAGTAGTCCGGTTGTTGCTCATTCTCAGTGATCAGCATTTGGGGCTTCTATCTCAAGTGGCCCTTGCCTTGAAATTGTGCGGAAAGAGGCCAGAAGCATTGGCTGTTCTATTGTGGCTCTTGCTCTAGTTTCCCTACAGCTCACTCTCGCATGCACCAAAATGCCAGCACCAACAAACAGGACTCTGGGAATTGCAGCCTGTGATACCAAGGGAAAGGGAAAGGTTCCCTGGCAACACGGTGTCAGTGTCTGAGAAACTGTCCTTTGTCCAGTATCCCTTTTGACCAACTCCCAACGTCTGAGCTTCTTGTTTCCCTGCCAAGGGTCAGGGTTTTCCACAAAAGGCAGCAGCTCCTTTGCAGGCCCCTCAGTTTCGAGTGTTCCTCAAAGGTTCTTGAACTCACGAGAGCCCTTCGCAAAGGCCCCAAAGGAGACCTGAATCACGCAAGAAGCACAGGGAGCTCTTTTTCGAGAGTTGGCCGGGTTTGGTCAATCAAGGGGTACACGTGTACACGTTACACCTTTTTGGTTAAATTTTGCACGAAAAATTGGTTGGGCGATTCCTAATTTACCTGGGATTTCCTTTAAAAGGACACCTATGCTAAGGGCCCCTTACCTTTCCTTCCCCAGAGTTTTAGCTCCCCTTTTCTCGTTTCTTTTGCTTATTAAAGGGTCCCTTGGTTTTGCACTAGGCAAAAAAGTGTCTCATGGTCCCCGGTCCAAGTCCCCGCGGCGTTTTTTCCTCCGACTCCGAGGCTCGGCCACCACAGGTGTCGGGGACCGCCTGCGGGAGAGCAAGAGCGCGTGCGCCAGGAAGCCCAAGCGGAACCCCGCGGTAAAGAATTTTGGGGGTCGGCATCCTAGGCACAAGGGTCCAGCAATTGGTGCCCTTGGAGCCGGTTCTTTTTTTGGTTGAGAGGGGAAACCTACTAAAATAGACTACAGAAAGAAGTTGGTAGCCTTATTCTAACCTCTCCACTGGAGAACCCTGTTGCTAGGCACAAGGGTCCAAGGCCATGGGGCAGAACCTGCGATCACATCTTGGGGTGGAACATCCATTTGCCACCTATTTTGATGTTCATCAAAAGTCTCAGGAAACCAGAGGTATTCGAGCATGGACCGCGGCAGGGGGGTGGGCAGGGGGGGTATTTCGTGTTCTGGGGCTTTGATTCGAGCAGCTTTCAAGCCGTGACTGCATGGGGAGGCTAGCGATGCTGAGGCCTGTTTGTGGACACTGGTCATGCTGGTGCTGGTTCTTACTTCCAAGCCCTCCACGAAAGCATTTGGCGTCGAACATTTTAAAGGCTTCGGCTGATGGACTTCTGCGCAGCTCTTCGATCGTCGCTTCTCGCACGTCGGCACTGCTTGGCATGTCGGTGCTCCCAACTACGCGCGGGCTGTGCACCAGGCTGAAGTTGAGACTATGTGAATGTTGCACATGAACGGATCTTGTTCATTGGTGGTGGAAGCCTGATCTGCAGTGTGGGATTTGGGGTGCTGTGGAACACCAAAACCATGTCGTGTCTCTGTCTGGGGCGGGGGCCTTTCGAGGTTCAAAGCCCGGTTGAAACGTATTGAAGGCTTTTGTTCACGTATGTTGCTCAATCTTGGGGACCGGCAGTGCGGTCCAGCCTGTTTTCTGCCTGGGGTTCGCCTGTGAAGACAGCGAAGGGGCAAGTTTGGGGTTTGCTCACGGGGCAAGCTGGTGTCCACTGGGAACGGAGGGCACCAGGGCAGGAGGAAAAGGATCCTTCCAAATGTCCAGTTCATTTGCCCAATTAATCCCTCCTTCTTGGAACATCTGGCAGCCCAGTTTCCTACTTCTAAGCGCAACAGGACCATTCCCTGGTTTGGGACCAGGCAATCGGTTTGGTTTCCAATTTCTTCATACCCACCATGGATGGGGAAGATTTTTCCAAAACATCATGCGGCAACAGCGATAAACGGGGTTAGCGCCTTTCCTTCCCGGGTAACCCTCAAATGAGCCACAATCAAAACCCGGGTAGATGAAGGTTAGTAAGAGGACATCTTTTTTGCCATATATAGCTGCGGATATCCGCTCTTAATTCTTGAAGAATGGTTCTAAGATTACGACCATTTTAATACCGGGTTTTGAGCAAGTAACTCAAAATGGGCCTGTCCCCTTTTTTGAGGGTACCAGTTTTTTTGTCTTCTTCTTCTTCTTCATTTTCTGGGGTTTTAAAGGGGGACACGGTCGTGTTTGGAGCAAGTGACTCAAATCGAGGCCAGTTGCTCGCGGCTTCTTCAGGTTGTGCCCTTGTCCTGGCGCCCCAAGCGCCGGCTAGTGAGCCTGGGAGCCCCAGATTTATACGACACGAATGCGGACCCCGAAGAGATGGGTGTGGCTCAAAATTCAACCAGGTTTTAGAAACCATGTTTCCATTTGCCAGGCTTCATTTTTGGGGGTACCCTACTTGTGACCCACTGCCATATGGGTGTGGCTCAAAATGAAAAGCTAGGGTTACGCAGGTTTTAGTCGTTGGTTCCATTTAGCCACAGCCACTCAAGTGAGATGCCTCCCTGGAAAGGATAATGGTTTCCATACGAAATAAACAGGGCAAAGCCACACATGACATCCCACACGAAAACTCATTCAGGAGATAAACTCCATACGGGCCGGTTCTCATCACCAAACGCCCAGTCCCTTCATCGTAGTTGACTTTGTTTGTTGGCCTAGTTCAGCTGCTTCACGTGACTTGTTTGTGCATTCTTGCGTCCTGGTTGGGTGTACAACGCAAAACCATGTTGTTTTGCGTGTCCGATTTCTTGTGAACATACAGGGTTGGAAAGCCCATGTGATGAGGAGTTGCTTGGCAACAGCACGGGTTTTCTGGCTGGGCCTAAAGCCAAGGGTTCGATTTTGGAGCTAACGGCGAGCAACTTGAACTTCTATGAAGATGCTTGGCTCAGCGAATTTGAGGCATACATGATTTTTTGTCGATGGAGCCTTGCGCTGGGAGATGCTCAAACACTGGTCTGGGCGACTTTTCTTCAGTACTACCACAGTATGTTGTGAAGCATCAGTGGCGGCGTGCGTATGACGTGCAGCAGTTCCCGCGTGGTTGGGAGGATGTCGTGATGATGTGTCTCCTCTTTGTTTTTCTACAGAATGACGCTGCGAACGCCCAACTGGGCCCAAACTTATGTACGGTACAGTTTCCAGGAGTATGAAAGCTATCAAAGTCAGAAACTTTATCTACCATTGCGGGGGGTGGTATTGTAATACCAGCTGTTTATTTGGCAATTGATGTTTTTCCCTGCGAGGTGGTGCTTGAAGATGGGTTGCTTGCCCTTGAAACACCACCCCAAAAGCGGGAACCTTTTAAGCAATGTCACATCGCGGCTGGCAAATTTGTTTGTTGCATAGGCACGGCATGTCGTACAGTCCGATGTCAAACCACAATGTCAAAACACAACTTACTTGGAATCCATAGGCCGTTTACATTTTCTAAGAATGCTTCAACACACGGACTTGTTGGGACGTTGTCTATTTTGCACAAAGATAGGTTTCAAAACAAGTTGGACTCTTGAGGAAAGATGACATGCTCTGTTGGACCTTGCCTTGTTTGTGGTCGTTTGATTGCATTGCAAATTCGCAAACCAAAACCAGGCTCCTCTAAAAACAATGTTTTTTTGTTTTTTTTTTTCTGATTTCATGCCAATCAGCAGTTGAAAGACACCCAGATCCGGGTTCCTTCATGTCCAAAAGCAAGCATGCAAAACCTCTTGAAAGCAGTGACAAACGCAGACAAAATTTGTGGGTTCCTGGAAGAAAACGAGAAACGACTCTCGTGTCCGAGGCACCCAAGGGGACATGGCTTTTGAGACCGAGACCGTTGAACTGGAGGCGGAGGTGGAGGCACGTACGCATTGCGTCGCCCTTTTCAGGTGCAAGAGAAAAGGAAAGCCACCCGTTGTTGTTTGGTTGTTTTGTTGTTTGTGTGTTTGGTTTATTGTTTTTTTTTGTTTGTTGTTGTTTTTTTTCCCCACCCGACAGGAAGGGGTTGTTAGATTTTATGTTGGAATCCGCGATTGCGATGCTTCTACACCACGCCCCCACCCAGTATCTCGCCAGAGCAGCTCGCCAGTGGATCCCGCCGAGTATCCCGCCAGAGCGGCTCGCCAGTGGATCCCGCCAGTATCCCGCCAGAAGCTGCTCGCCAGTGGATCCCGCCGAGTATCCCGCCAGAGCGGCTCGCCAGTGGATCCCGCCGAGTATCCCGCCAGAGCAGCTTGCCAGTGGATCCCGCCGAGTATCCCAACAGAGCAGCTGGCCAGTGGATCCCGCCAGTATCCCGCCAGAAGCTGCTCGCCAGGATCCCGCCGAGTATCCCGCCAGAGCGGCTCGCCAGTGGATCCCGCCGAGTATCCCGCCAGAGCGGCTTGCCAGTGGATCCCGCCAAGTATCCCGCCAGAGCAGCTCCAGTGGATCCGCGCCAGTAAGCAACACAAAAGCATCACCCTTTCCGAGCCTCAGGGTACACTCAAAGCACGAAAGCGCCAACATGAAATGTAAACCCAACTGTGCGCCGGGCGAGACAGTAAGCAAAACCAGACTGGCGAGCTGCTCTGGCGGGATACTGGCGGGATCCACTGGCGAATGCTGGCGAGCCGCTCCGGCTCGATACTGGCCGGATACTTGGCAGGATCCACCGCAAGGGATACTCAGCGGGATACTCGGCGGGATCCACTGGCGAGCTACTCTGATATACTCAGTGGGACACTGGGCGGGATCCACTGGCGGGCTGCTCTGGTGGGATACTTGGCGGGATCCATCGGCTCGCAGACAAGTGGAGTTTGACGCACAGAGGCGGATAAGGCTCTCAATGCAAAGCTTGTTGAGCAGTCATACGCCCCAAGCCACTCGAAAACCACGCTTGACTTCACACAACCGTGTTCACGGTCGTAAGCTCGTGAGTGTGGAGGGTGGCGATTGCTCGAAGCAACGTAATTGATTTGTTGTTGTTTTTGTTTTGGGGGGGGGTCCCTCTCTCTATTTTGACACGTACTCTCTGTTTTTTCAGCAGAGCGGTTGGGAGGGTTGCAATGAAGGGCTTCCGATCGGCTAGCGCAGGAATCAGGTTTAAAAGCATCCGAAAGGAGCCCATTTTGTAGAAAGCATCACCCAAGTTGCATCACACCCTGGGTGAGCCATTCTTGAGCAAACCCCAAGGTAGACTTGGGTGGTCAATTTGGGACCCTGGACCCGGGGAGTTTAAGGCTGCGGTTTGCTCAAAAGCCACTCACCCTGCGCCTGAATGAAAATGTGGGGGGGGGGGTCAGGAGTCAGGACTCTCAATTGCAGGATTCACGTCAACGGATGAATCGACCTGGATTTAGAAAGGTGTTCCAGATCCAAAGCGGCCCTCCGGTTCAAGAGGATTGCAACCTTGGGAAATGACAAATGTTCAGCCAGTTTTCCAATTGGAGGGGGGGGGGTGGGGTTGGTTCCCAAGGAGACTCATTTACAACTTGGTGTTTGTTTTGGTTCCATGTTCATCTTCAGGGGAGTAGAAGCCCTTCTTGACTCGCTCGGCTTTGAATGGCTGCACAAATGGACGATGCAATTCTAGGTCCCCCAGTAGTGCCCTTTCTGACCCCTTTTTTGGTTGGGAGGGTGTTCCCCTACTATCATAGACTGCAGCAAAAGACACGGTACCAACATATTCTAACCTCAAACTACTGGAGGACCTAGACAAGAGAAACGTTCCCCTTTAACAGCCTTCAGGGATTCGATCTAGGCGTGGTCTAAGGGACCTAGAATTCAATGGAGCTCTCTTGGAATTTCTTCACAGCTGACTCCCGGTCACGCCTCGGCCTCCCCGTCCGCTTCAGGCGGCCTGGCTGCTGGTGCCGGCGCTTCTGGCCGGAGTAGCCGCCACTGTGGCGACGCCCTCATTTTCACCTCCAACCGGGGGTGGCGCTGTTGGGTTTCGGTGGGTCCCCCAGTACCTCTTTTTTAGGGAGGGTTCCCCTAAAATAGACTACAGAAAAAAGAAACGGTACCCGTATTCAATCCTCTCTACCGGAGGACCTAGGTAAAATGGGTAGGTGAATTCACCACCCATTGTAGGCTTTATTTTGGTGGGGATTGGGATGTTCACTGGGGGTACGTTGTGGGTTTTAGGTGGGTTTCGGTGGCGCAAAAACCGTTTGGGATCAATCCATTTTTAGTTGGATTTACGGTGCACCCATTTTAGTCAGGATTTTAGTGACCAATGGTTCCATTTTGGTTGGTAGGTAGGTGCACCCCTTTTTAGTCGTGATTTTAGTGGGGGATTGGGATGTTCACTAGGGCTAACCGGGGTTTTGACCCCTATGTCAGTTTTTGTCGGTGGCGTTTGAGGGCGCCCCTTTTTTTGGGGGGGAAAGTTTACAGAGCAAATGGTAAAGCAGGCTGCCTGTGGCAAGATGAAGCTCACCGTGGGCTCTTTCTTGGGGGTTCCGCGTGGGTTTTCTGCAGATTCATCTTGTGCTGTTTTGCTGCTTGTCATTTTTGTTCGACATGTCGGTCTTTGTTTTTGTTTCCGTCTGTTTGCCAGTGTTCCTTTTCTCTTTGATCTTTGGCTCGAGCTGCGGACCTTTGGAAGGCCGACCCCGTTTCGTGAACTTCCAAGGGCCGCATCCCAAGGGATGGTTACAACTAGCTGCGAACTTGTTCAGGTTGCCTCATTTTGCAAGGTTTGTTTCTGATGGTTTCTGCTTGCAGTGTGGCGTGTGTACTGTTGTGTTGCTGAGTGCTGGACGGGTTGTGGCTTGTGTTGCTGAAAGTCGCGTTTGGTTGTTGGTATTTCCCAGAATCTATGTGCTGCTAACTGTGCCGGACCGCGCGTGTTTCTCGTTGTTCTTTGTCAGACGCCACAGACTTGGGCGTGTTTGGACGTGATCGGATTGATCGTATGCAGAGTTTGATCGCATGCCAGTTGTTTGGCAGTGATCTATGGCTGGGATCAGGAGTGATTTCGCATTGCGGGCAGATTTGCTCCCCAGAGCATGAAGTCATTGAATTTGTCGAACTCATCTCAAATGTGTACCTTCCATCGCAACACAGGGCCCAAGTCCACCGTTTAGGTATGGACGGAATGCCGACCCTGTGGGGGTCCTCCTTTTCTTTTGCACATACCTAAATCGGGCTAACATTGGAGTGGTCGGGCGTTTGCTGTTTGATTTGCATTGGTGAGAGGTACAGATTGCGCGACAGGTTCGACATTTTGGCAGTGGACAGATCTCGTCGGCATGGACACACGTGGATACGCGCTATATGAGATGGGAAAAAAGACAGCTCGCTAATCGTAGATAAATGATAGCTGCATAAATTCTTCATAAATCAAGAAGAGGCATATGCATAACCAGGAAGGAAGATAGGTAAATGGATAGATAAACAACAAGAAAGTGAATAGATGGGTAGGAAGTGCCTTCTCGAGTAGTGACGCAAAGCACCTCAAGGTGGAGGTGCCAAGGGGATTACGCCACAGCAGTTGGGCAGAAAGGTTTTCTAGAAAGAATCGCCAGTGTTTGTTGGTGTGTGTGTGTGTGTCCGGGTGTTCCCTTTCGAAATGGTGTTCAGACCAGGTTGTGCTGAATATTGCATTTGGCAATGATTGTACCGCTACAGTAGTTTGCAAGTGGTTCAGGGGTTGTGCGGCAATCAGCAGGATGGCATGGATGGCTTGGTAATGCGTGTGAGCCTTGTGAAGAGGAGGGGTGTATTATTTTGTTGTGTGTGTGTGCGCGTGTTTGTTTAAAGCCACCGTACATGTACGCGTTCCAAAGGGGACCCATGTTTACAAATAGTTGGTCTACCTTTATTTCAACTTGGACCCTCTGAAACAGGTGGCTTCATTTTCTATCCGAGTTTCATCAATCGAAGCAGGGGTCCTGACTTTGGAACTAGGCATCCAGGTTACACGTGAATATTCACGCTTGCTCACACGTCCAACCGAAAAAGGCAAGCCTCTCGTGGTTCTGGAGTGGACCTCATATTACCTCAGCCTGGGAATGACTGGATTTACGCGTTGCGGTGGATATGCCTCTCGCCAATTGGAAAGCAACTGTCCAATGATGACGTTGTTAGCTGTTTCTCTCCTGGTTGACTTATATTCAACTCCCAATTTTCGGCCCCCCCCCCCCCCCCAAAGCCCCGCATGTGGCTTTACCGCTTTTTCACGTCGGGTAAGGCGATGGGCGGGATCATGGCCTTTTGCCGGCGGCGAGGCAAGGGAAGGATGGGCTGCGTGTGTCTCACAGAGTTCCTGAGGTCCTGGACTTGATGCTTTTTGGAGTTTGGATCATTTTAGGGCAAACACGGAGTTTTATTTGATACAAATATTGGTCTAATTTACTCAAGCAACGATGAATATCTGAAAGCTCTAGAACGGCCGAAATACCCTTTTCCGCAACAGCTGAAAGCCTAGGGGTCTCTGCCCAGATGGCGGCTAGGGTTCCAGAAGGCTCGGGGGGTTGTCTGGAAATGCTGAAGGACATCCAAAATTGGTCGTCCCACTTGGTTCGTTGATTTCGGCTGTCCTCCCTCGTGCTCTCGAAACCCAGCCAACAGAAGGAAGCAAAAGTTTGAAGCCGGAAGGAAGTTGAATAAATGCAAGTAGTACATGGAGTGGAGCCTTTGGTGTAAATGGATTTGGTTTCAACCCGATAGAATCGGCTCTGCCCCATGTGACCACCTTGAAAAGCTGGCGGATTCTGCCAGATGGGGTTCATTGGGGATGGCCCATTAAAAAAAAAAAACACTTATATGGGCTGGCAAGGGTGTTTGGATTTTGTTCCTTGGTTTTTTTCTTAAGCCGACCTCAAGACTCCTTGGAAGCAAACCCACATTATGGAAATGAACAGGTTCCGCATGGTCATTGGTTGCGACAGTTCCCAATGTTTTACCACTCGCTGAGGGCTTCACCTCAGAAGAGCAGAAATGTTTAGCCCTGATTAGCAAACCACCCCCAAGGGGTCCAGAAAAACCGGACAGCCTTTAAGCAGGGGGGTTTTATCAATCAGGGGTCGACATACTTATCCTTCTAGGGTTCTTAGAGTTCTTTGTGTCCTTTCTCCTCAAGGTGGATATGTGTCCTGGCACCCAGACGCAGCGCGGTTCTGTTTGTGTGTTGATCCCTTTGCTTGGCCGCATGGTGGTAAAATGTAAACGGCCCCTTCCTGACTTTAGGCTTTTCCATGTCTAACCTTTTAAAGAAGCTTTGTTGCATTTTGCTTGGTGTTAGCTACTTTTTGCCAACCAATGGGGTTTCCGTATTAAACCACTAAAACTTAAAAACTTTTAGCAGGGGAGCAACCAGGAGTTTCCAGCTGTACGCTTACTTCGGCCAGGCGAATTCGAGGCCCTGGCGTCCCCAGCGGGAGACAAGCGCATCACCGTGCAGGCGCGGAAGTCTGGAGGCTTCCTGGCAGTTCCTTTCCCTTGCCGGAGCTCCTGGCAGCAACTCTCCTTCAGATGTTTTTTTTGTTGGGGTCTTTTTTTAAGGGTAAGGTACAGATCAGTGGATTTTGTTTGTGTGTGTGTGTGTGTGTTTTTTTGGGGGGGGCTAAGTTGCGGACAAAAGGGATCACTGGGTTTTGTCTCAAAAATAAACTAAAACAATGGGTCCGACCTGTCCGAAAGACGTGCTTTCGAGTTTGTGGAGGCATTGGGTACTTCCCCCCAATGAATTGTGGGTGAACTGCGGGTAGGGGGTACCCTCATGTTGGTCGCCAACAAAGCAACAAAGAAAGCAACACAAGAAGACAGTTTGGTTGGATTTGGGTGTACAAATGATCGGAGATTTGGATTCCGATGGCAATCAAGGGGAGGCCGAGAGAAACCGGCTGTTTGGGGTGCTTTTCCTAGTGTTCAGGGTCTCCAGTCTTTTCCCTTTTGATACTTTCACGCATCACCTTCTGGCCAATTCAAAGTGCGAGTTTCACGTGTTTTCTTGTTGTTGAATCCTATTTTGGGAAGCACACCCATTTGGGTGTGTCCTAAAATGGGGCTGACTCATGAAAAATGGTTTTGCCTCAGGCATCAGGTTGATATCTTGGTTGGTCGGCGATTGCAACTGCGAAGCGCAGGAGTTCCCCACTAACAGCAACCAACTTCACTTTTTGCCGGGGATCAGCGGGGTGAGGTTATAGTTCCGTCAGTTTCCATCAGGGTTAGAGGGTTGAAGGATCTTAAGGTTGCTCGGTGAGCTGCTGGAAATCTTTCAGGAAATGGGAGATTCGCTAGACCGTTTGCCCTGCCCAGTGGGGTTACACCTATGTTCCATGTGCTGCGGTTGGGTTCCTTCAAAACAAACCAACCAACAAGATTATGTTTTTTGCCCCGGTACGGGGCGTCAAAGCTCCGTGCTTTGAGCTCTTGTCATTGGTGTTTGTGTGGAAAAGTGACCACCTTCTGTGATACCATGTGGGCCCTCTTTGCAAGTGGCTAGGTAGTGATAAAGACTCGCCGCAATATCGCAACGTCTGGCCCAGTGCTAGCCTCAAGTGAAACGCAAGGAACTCCCAACTGGACACACACCCAGGATGTAGCCTGGAAGAACATGTTTGGTGGAATACAAGAGGTGTTGAAACGTGATGAAAGCCACTTCCCCCCGCCACCAAGCCTTTTGGATGGACGATTTCACTGGTGAGTCTCGAATGTTGGTCATCCACTCTTGTTGGAGGAGCCCAACTTGTCCCAACCTTAGCCCCAGCATGGGATAACTTGAATTGAACATAGCAACTGTGTTTTGCCTGGCGAATCAACTCAGGGAGCGAGGTGTTGTTTTGTTTCACAGCAGCAAAGAAACCAGCAACAGGAACAAGGAGCACGGCTTGGCTTTGTTGGAGGTTCGGCCAACTTGAGGTAGAATGTATTGGAGGTTGATTGGTTGAAACTCGGAGCATCAAACAATACCTTCAGTAAGTTGTAAGAGAGCAATCAGCATGCTGTGGGAAAGCGACGGATTTTTGACAAAAAGTGTGTATGTCATGGCCAAGGACTATCAATTGCCATGCCTTGCGGGGGATGGGGGGACGAATATCTCTTTGGGGAACAAAAAGCTCGTTGGAGATGTGAGAAAAAGATGTTTTGCAAAACCATGGTGTGCTTGCTAGGATCCCAGTTTCAAGGGGAGCCATCACCCAAGGCCCCCTTTGGAGCTTTCGTTTTTCCGGCAGGTTGTGCCAGTTGCCCAAGCCTCGGTGTGATTTCCTTGAGTAGATGGCCATGGGTCAAAATCCTGATCGTACCCCCAGTGAACATCCCAATCCCCACTAAAATAGGTTCTAAAATGGGTGGTGCACCTACCAACCAAAATGGGATCCTGTTTTCCTGAAATTCAGAGCCCAAAAACGAAGAATTGCCTCCCTTGGCGCCAGAGCTTTGCCAAAATCTGCCTTGAGGCAAGTGAGTGGGGGCCCTGGTTTTCCAACCCCAACCTGTTGATTGACCTCCACCTTGCTGGTTTATGCGACCCAAGTGAGTGAAGTTGGGGAACAATCGCCGGCTGGATCTCGCAATTCGTTGTTTTGTGTTTTGGCCTTTCTTTGCCCACTCTTTGCCCTATTCTGCCTTGTTCCGCTTTTGAACGACTTTGGAGTTTGGCTTGTTTCGTTATCGTTTGATGGCACCATGTCCATTTTGCAGCTGGACTGCCCCCTTGGAGCGAGCGGATTTTCCACCACAAGGCCACGTTGTGGAGTTGGCATGATTCTGGACATGTTTGATGCTGGCCACATGTTTGCGGAGCCTTCAGGTTGCCGAGCAAACAGGCAGAAAAGGCACGTATGAATTTTGCATGACCATGACTTGACTTCAATATAATTCCAATTCAAAATGTTTACACTTTATTTCGGATTCCGATGTTTGTTTGTCGTGGCCCTTGAAGAACCTTTTGCATGCATGTGTTTGCCAACAGATGCACAACCCCTTCGTAGTTATGGAGTCACACAAGAGTCACGCGGTCGCCCGACTGGAACAATGATTGGGAATGCAGCAGATTCAGGATGGCATGGTTGACAATATACGGGCCTGCCTTTATTCATCCGACTGTGTCATTTGTCCCACCTTTCAAGGAAGTCCAACACAAAGGTTTGCCCCACTATGATAACGTGACTGTTGTTTCGAACATTCGTTCGTTTGCGCTCTCGTTGGCTTCCAAGCAATCTGAGGCGTCTCGAGATTCCTTGGCGTCCACAGTTTCAGAGGGCGATTGACCAGTCCCCGGGCGGCGCGGTTCTTGCGTCTTTCGGGTTTCCCTTTGCTTCGGGGCCAAAACAGAAGGGTGTCTCTTGGAAGACAGGTTTCGCTTTTGATGACCCCTGCAGACTTAAAACATGGCGGTTTCGCACCTGGTGCCCGGGGCATGAGACCCCTTGGACACAGTACTGCGGGGTGTCTAGGCCTCGTGGTGTTTCACTGGTGCCAATGTCATGTGGACGACCCCACCCAGTCGGACGAATGCACAGATGAGCCGTTTAAGTAACCTCAAGAAACGCCCTAGAAATAGAAAGCACGCGAATTGGGAGGAACATCCACGGGAAACCTCAAGAAACATCCACCCGCCCAATACACGTCCAAAAATCAAAATGGACGTACCCTGTCTTTCCGTGGTGAAGGTGAAAACGATGAAATCTGTGATTTTGCGGTTTCTCACGGTTTCTCCTTTTTTTGGCCCGACATCCATCCGACCGGCAGCTCGTATCCACAGCGCCTGATAGAGCCCGCTCACAAGCAAGAGGGCACTGGAGTACAGATGAGTCGATGGCAGGGGCAGGCGAATGGACACTGTACAACCCTCAACGGTGGTCCCTCGATTTTTGTCAAATGGGGAGTCAACAAGCAAGCAATGCAGGGACACCTTAAGTGAAGAAATTAATCCAATCACATTGCCCTGAGCACTGTGCGTGGGCTTGCGACAAACTGGGAATAGTGTGACTTGGTTTGCAGGGGGCCACTCGCTGATGCGCAAGCAAGGCATGCGAACATCGATTGCAGCTGAGCACTGAGCAGTAATCAACCCTTCGAGAGGCACTCCACTTCTCTTACGAATTGATCTGCTCTCAGTTGATCGCCTTGATTGAAAAGGGGTATATGAACACTATTCGCTGAAGGTCACTTGTGAATTTCTCTGGTAGTTTACAGGGAAGTGGTCAGGAGTGTGAAATTGTGTTTTGTCGGGGCATGTTGAGCTAAAATGAGATTTGTTTTTGAAGACACGAAGGGGGCACAGACTACTTCCCACAACAGCCAGTTGGTACCAACAGAAAGCTCCTGCGTCAGGAGAGGCAAGTGAGATTTTCCCAATCTCCCGGAAAATCTAAAAAGCCATGTTGAGAGGCATCTCCTGCTGGGATGTTTCTATGCCCTTTTCTACGAACCGGCTACAGCAAATTCTACAGGAAGTTTAATCCAAACCTCTAGATTTGGTGATTCTTTTTGGGTTCTGCTGGTTGGTTTGAGTACCCTCGACTTCGACCTGAGCTTGGCATCGGCTCGTTGAGCGCTTTCGGTTTCGGTGCAGGCCGTTTCGGGGGGTTCGCCGCTTGACCTGGCTTCACACTTGCGCAGGGTCTGTCTTTTTTGCTTTTTCGCTCCCTGCGTGGTTCAAACATCACGTTTAGTGCCATCGTTTGATTAAGTTGTGTTGTTTGTGGATGTGTAAGCGGACTGTTGATGCGTGCGTGGTACAGATGGGGCACACTGAGTATTGCAAGTAACCAGCCACATGATGTCGCAAAGGAAAGGGTGGTGTCCCGCACGCAATCTGCGACAGCAACGCCATTGGTCAAGGATAATCCCGGTCCTGTCACCCATGTGAGATCAATGTCCAGTAGTCTTCTGTCGGCCATTCAAAGGGCTCTCTGAATTTCCTACAAACCACGCTAATGAACCCGAGTTTGCCACGTCCTCCCTTTGCAAGCTTGATGGGGCTTCAAGTTTGGTGGCATTTGGGGGGTTTGGGGGAGTTGAGAAGGCTGAAAGGAGTTGGGAGGGCATTGGCAGATTTGCGAACGCAGCTTTCCCCGCTTCTGGATTTCTGTTTGTTTTTGTTTGAAAGGCGTAAGTACTGCCATCGCCATTTGCGCCGCAAACATCAAGCAAGTGGCAATGATACCGTTCTTTCGCATATTGCGAGCAAGGAAAAACGGAAGTCCTGCCATCTTGCATGGGTATGTGATTGGTCATCGTATCCAATGAGGGCGTGAAGGCTGCTCACCTGATCTCATCAGAGGTACACGAGTGACACTCACTAGATCTCTTCTGAAGCAAGAAATGAAACGACGTGCTTCTGGTTTGTGGGCGTGTGTTCTAGAAAAAATCGAAGCCTTTTCGGATTGGTTTGAATGGAAACTTAAAAGGCAACTGACCACCTGGAGTGGAGGCCCCTAGTTTGAGACG